ATCACTATCACTACTATCATTATTTATTTCATTTTTACATTCCCCTACATATTTTCTGATTAATTTATCAGGGTAATTATTAAGTTTCAAAACTTCTCTTATACTCATCACTTCCTGTCTTAGATTTTCCTTGGAACTACTTAGTTTTTGTGCTCTGTGACTTAAACATTTCACCAATTCTATTTTCACTGACATAGGATGGGATGATCGGAAGTTCAAATATCTGTTTGAATATGTGGATTTCCTGTAAACACTAGTGTTTAACTTCCCATCTTCTAACCTTATGAACAATAAATTTTGTTCGAAACGTCATCCAGTAGATACTAACACTGTTTCACTGTGTGATACATCTAATAAACAAACTAATATGGAATTACTTACTACCACAGCGCCCAAGTTTTACACATATATATTAACACAACATTTTAATTGATTAATAATTGACTTCAAAAGACTGAATAGTGGAGAAAACAAAATATTCTTTCCGATAACTTCCTTATCCCGCCCTAGAGTAGTTACATGTTCTAAATATTAAAAAAAAAATAGTTGCTATTGACAGCATTAGTGCTTTTTAAACAAATAATACGAAATCATTAGGCTCAAGAGACTACTGTTCAAAACTTGTGTATGTGTCTGCGTGATACTATACTATGCATGAACATAACACTAAATTAAACATTAGATAAAATAAAAAAAATAAAAGGTTTCTTTGTACAATCGTCATGATATATAAAGAAAAGGGCAATTTGTACACACGCAAGACTTAAGGTCATGCCTGAAAACGTGTGCTGTAATACAGTATTTATGAACTTGTGCATAATTTCAAAGTAGGCCAGGTTAATAATAGTCTCTGGACTTGTATCTCTCATCCACAATGGTTCTTATTGTTTATGAGAAATTTTGTAGCTCTTACTGTTTGGAGTATTTCGTATCTAAGTGGCTTTATCAGGTTACTTGGTATCCATATCTGAAGACAGAATGATCCTTTTATGATCCTTTTCGAACAGGTGTTCTAATATCAAAGGATTAGTGATTTTCACTACACGTTTACTTATTCATGCTAGTTGGTGTCGCCGAACACAGAAAATCAAGTTCCTGGAGCAACAAGCGACATAACAGACTCTATTGGAGCAGTAAAATTGGTAGATACATTAGGAGATTGCACACTGCCTTTAAAGCGCAATCACAAATAGAGGGGCTTCTCGATTACATTCACAGAATCTTTCTGCCCAACTTTCTTAATATTGTCAATAGCAATTCTTTAAGTATTATGGATGTAAAGCTGTAAAATCTGGTGTAGACATCATCGGAAAGAGTATTCTTTGTTCACCAATTATTCTTTTAACATAATGGTTTTAAAAGTTAACTTTATAAATGTGATTTTGAGGAAAACACAATAATCTATCCTTATTATTATTACTGCTGTTCCCTTGGGTTCCAAGCGGAACATAGGGCTTCAACAACGCGTACCCATTTCTCTGCAGTTCTGTTTAGCTGGCCCCAAGATCGCCCATAGTCTCTGATTTCCTCCAGGCAGAACCTTCTCAATGTCACCATCGAATTCACGCCCAACTCATCGTTTCCCATTCGGGTTCCACTTGAGTGATGGTCTGGCGTGTGATGTCACTGGATGGTCTCCTGAACGTATGTCTGATTCATCTCCATTTTCTTCGAAATACTTGTTGAGCAATATACTCTTGATTGGTTCTGATCCGATCTTCAGTTTGGAACCAGCTAAGTGGACAGCTTTTGATTAGAGTCTGCAGTATCCCATTAAAAATGATTTTCGTGACGCGTCTGTGTAGAAGAAGTGACTAACTTAACATTAGTGCTAAAAATCTGGATTCTGTTCCCAGTGCTGAATGAAACAGATTTGCAAATTGATGTCAGGGTGATGAATATCTGTCTTTCCTCTCCGATTCCACCCATATTTGTTGGTTAGTAGGTTGGTTTTCTTCATCATCACCACCGTCTTCTGTATTTCCACTCGAAGTCCTGTCTTCTCTGCTGCTTCTGCCAGTTTGTTGGTTTTCATCTGTAAGTCTTCGAGTTTGTGTGACATTAAACATAATCCGTCAGGGAATTTCAGATCTTCTAGAGTCCTCTTATCTGTCTAAAGTATTCCTTTCATCTCGTTCCCTATACGCAGTCTACCGCCTAATCGAATCCACCACAATTAGGAATATCACCCGTGATAATAGGCAATCTTGTCTTACTCCTATATTCACTTCAAATGCTTTGCTAAGTTTTCCATTGTTCTGTCGTAGTACTGCGTGCATTTCGACTTATAATTCTTTTCACTTCGGCTAAAAATGATGTGAATCAGGTTAGGTGCATTTAAGATCACTCCGGCTAAGCTTATTATCATTATTACTGCTTCTATATGAAATCCAATTCTAAACGGTTTTATTATTTATGTGTGTATCGTGGTCATATGAAATTTCTTCTAGTTCAGATATCTTTCTATATATATATATTTGTAAAAATCGTGTTTGATATCATCGCTACAGTGTTACACCTGTTCACAGACGTATATTTTTAATTGTTTTTCAATACAATGTATTCGATTTCAGTCAACTGTATATTTTTTAGAAAGTGTCGAACATATGCGCTTTAATGCTAATAATTCACAATTTCTTGTTAGACAAAACAACGAAATCATTATTATTATTATTACTCGTATGCTTTCATTAAAAAAGCTGTTTTTAGAACACAAGAAGAGAGTTTGTTAACCAGTCCTAAGCGGGAAAGAAAAAGGAGGGTTGGGTCTGGGGCTAGCAACTCCACCTTGTAGAAAGCAACCCCAGTGCTATTGGAATAATAGACTTATTCTCCGTTGAAATTGAGGAGGACAGATGACACCGGTTGGAGAAGACAGTCTACCGGTGCATGCGCCTTCGATGGAGATAAACGTGGTGATATTGAATGTCCGCACCAATGCTTTAGGTTGGTTGATAAGGCTTCTCAGATTGGTTAGAAGTTTGATGACGAGTTTACTTCAGTTAGAGGACCATTGGAAATCCAGCGGGAAGTTCTAGAAGGCTGTCTGGTTCTGGTTTAGAACACTTGATCAGTATACACTCACTGCCAGGGTTCGAACCCAGAATCTTTCAGTTACAAGATGAGCTCGTAGACCATTCAGTCAATGGGACCCTATCCAATGGTCAGTCTATGAATTCCAATTTCTTTTGATTCGCCATGTCTCCATAGCACAACCACCAGCCAGTTTCATAGATGAGTAACTGATCTCTTAAGTGACACTGGTGGACGTCACTTCTCAGATAGTAGAAGAAATGGGATTAAATGGTATATAAGTGGATTCTTCAAATTTTTAATTAGAAATCCATTCATTTACTTTGATCACCTTGACGGCAAGCAAAAGTACACTGAAGCTGTATCATAATCTGGCCAACAGTATCGAAGGCTATCATGCAGTAGGAACCGATCTTCTCTGGGATCATGACAAAGAAATTCATCTCAGAAAGGAAGGAAATTTATAGTTATACAATGCTATGCACTTATATCCTATGCCATTCCTTCAAGTGTAACTCCAATGGAAGGTAATGGGTTGTACGTGTGGGTCTTTGAGTAACCTGGAAGAAATCAGGTGGAGAGGAAATGAAAACTTGTAGACAATCATAAAGCTAGGTGAAAATGACTACAGAGAATAGAATACAGTCAAGATGTGTTCCTGAAGCTTTGCATTCCATTCAAAACTCAAGGAACCAATAAGTATGGTCATAATTTGTTGCACCATTGATGAAAACTACTGGTAGACAGTGTTTGTATGAGTACGCAGTGCGAATTATATTTATAAGCACCTTAAAATATATTCAAAGGGTCATACTTTTAGGCTTTTCAAATACTCTTAAATAACTTGCAATTATCTCACTCATCTCATAGCAATATCATTTATTTTAAGAGATATCGGCAGGTGAAATTGAGGAATATGCCATCACTGCTTTTGGCCGTCAGTTGTCCCCACACCCAACTTCTTCGATGGCGTTCATCCTTTTTTTAAATCTTTCACACGTGTACCATTATACCGAGTCAACTAATGTTTAGTCTCTTCATATTCATCTCTTAGACTGGCGAAAATTCGATCGTTTTTATACTTTCACTCCTTGAGTTTTAAATGGAACATCGGGCTTGGAGCTTTGATGAAGGATCAGTAGGCGTGATGTTTTCACGAGGTGGGATTGCTAGCTTCATACCCAACCTTTATTCTTCTCTGTACTTACTCTAGGATAATAAATGAAGTGCGATTTAGGAACGTGTCGGTCAGAAATCGAACCCCAGACCACGTACGTGGCTGGTGAGCATTCTTCCACTGAAGCACTTATGCACGAAAATCAAATCTAGTAAAATGAAACAGCTATTTAGTATACGTCAATTTCCAATGATATTGAGATCTTAACAAATCCTTTTCCATGAAACAAGTAGATACTTCGTGCAACTAAGATATGTTTGAATATTATTCGTATTTTTTAATAAGAAAAAATTCTAGCCATTTTCCCCACTAATTAATTGATGGATGATGACTTGCAGAGAAATCCAGAATGCCCATTTCGTCCTATTTGGGACTTGTCAGCTACTTGGATGTAACTGCATTCCCCAGTGAGCGATGATGTTCCCACCAGGGCTCGAACCCATTGTCCATAGTTTCAAACGCCAAAGCGTTATCCACCAGACGACTTGGGCCACGATAGCCACTTCTTGCGCAACGGGTAGTATCAATTATTTGAAATTTATTTATTTGAATTTGAAATGCGCATCCTGGATTCCACTGCTAGTCACCATCCACCAATTAACTTGTGATTACATGCCCAGACATCTGTACAAGAAACCGACATGTCAGCCTGAGACCGAGCAGCACTTCGATCCAATCAATCGACTGGAGAATGTAAAATTCAATTAAAAAATTCTCACTAGTTTAAAGGCATAATCATTATTCTACTCGGAACATGTTTTTCTTCTTACCATTTGTTTCTAATATACAGATTATGAAATATGTAGATGATCGTATGAGAGAGGGGATTGAAGAGTATTCAATGTTACGTGATCAACGTGAGAATCCTATACCGTTCATGGATTCAATTCAACGTATGGTATGTTAGTCTTATACGCCATTCTGTTTAGTATTGATCCATTTTCGTAATATTTTATTAATAATAATAATAATAATAATGATTTGCTTTATTCCAAAAACAGTACTTGTGATACAGATTGGAATTTTCAGCATTAATCACAATATTGCATCTAATTTCCTCAAATTATAAATAAAAATTAATCACACAGAAAATTTTACACATTTATAATAGAAGTAATGTCAAAACATGCAGCATATAAAATGGAAATAATAACAATAATGATAACAGCTAAGGTAATAATAATAATAATAATACAAGTGAAAATTGCTGTGGGCTTGTTTCACACAGTATTGTCGATGCGGTATAGAAATCCTAGCAGGTTTAAAAATATTGAATATAATGTTCTCTTTACATGATATGGTGAGAGGAAAAATAAAGAGAGATAAGTTGGTGTTTGCGATTACGAGAGTAAAACAAAGAAGCAACAGGACCATAAATGAAATAATAAAAGTAGAACTTGAAGGTATATAAGTATGAACAAAATTTAAGTGTTTATCAAATTGATAAATTGCATAACTGTTATGTACTAGTTTACCCCGTCGCCAAATTGTTATGTACTCGTCGCTAAATTATTGTTATGGACTGGTCGAGAAACTAATAGTCCTGACGCGAGAGGGCGAAATCAGAAGACCACTAGGTTTGCGATGATACTTCTATTGTCCAAACACAAGGAGACGAAAATAAATGGTCTCACACCAAAGTGGTAAGCAAGTCAAGTAGTTGTAAAGTAAAGTAGTTCACACAAATTGAGAATGCGAATATATATAAATAATTCAGACAAGCGTGGGAAAATCATTAGACAGTCTTAACATGAATGGCTAATTATAATGGAGTGTCGATCCAATTATACATAGCGAATATAGCAGACATGCCAACAAACATATATGGATATATGTCACCAAGCAACGGACTGTCAACAAACACTCATATTATATATAATATAATATAAGGAGAATACACATTATTAAAGGAGACAAGTCCATACAAGTGAAAGTGGTCACAGACTAACCGAGCAAATAGAAAGAGAGACCAACATGCACACACACACATAAATATATATATGTGGATACATATCAATAACTTTGATTTTTGCTTTGTAAGTTGGTTTATCATCGTTAACCGTCAATATGCCAAGTCGTTCGTGCGGTGTATAAGATGGCAGTTACACCTCTTTATCAACTTCACAGACTTTGAAAAGGCTTTCAACAGCTTCGACTACGAAGTCATTTTTAAACTGCTTCAAAACTACGTAGTACCCAGAACCTTTATACACCACAGTCAACAGATTTATGATGGTTCCACATGCCACATGGTGGTCAAACCAAAACATGGCTTCATCAGTCAATGAAATCCACAACAACTAGTTTAAGCCAGTCACGTAGGAAGGTGCAGACTTCCTAACTGGTTGGGATCCTCGGGACGGTAAAAACCAATGCGGCTGGAGACAGTTGGTGATATGGCTCAGAATCATTCTCAATGGCTGGCGCAGATGCATCCACTTCTTGCGACTTATGATTTCCAATGAAACTATATTGTTCTTCGTTACTACTATTCCTTTGTCTCACATCTCTGTTTACTGTCTCTATTATGCATTTCTTCTACTTTCTTCTTTTGCTTTGTGTGCTACATGGAGACAGTGTGGCGACGTGAACTGCTGCACACGGGTGCAAAGTTCTATGTTGAAAACAGACTGACAGAAATAATTTTCAACAGAAAACTCACAGAAACGTTTCAAGTGAGGACAGGAGTAAGTTAAGCCTGTCTACTACCACCAATGATATTCCTGAATGCAATGGACTTGGTCGTGTGGCAGACCGTGGGGAGCTAGGTGACTGGCATACGTTCAACTGATAAGACGATTTGCAAAAGGAAAGCAGACCTTCATCAACCTGAAATCAGCCTGTAAATCTACTGAACTAGGCATAAAGAACAAGACCCGGATTTTCAACACTAATGTCGAGTTAGTCAGTTCTTCTGTATGCCTCGGAGACTTGATATATCATGGAAAGCATCTCCAGCAGCCGACAGTAGACTTTTATCAAAAAAGAATGCCTACTTTGCTGTCTCCATACTGAAGATCAGATGGCCAGTTGGCTAGAAAGGATTATCAATGAGGAACTATGGCAACTAACTAACTAACGAAGAACCTATCAGCTAACAAGTATGCGGAAGGAAATGGAGATAGATCAGACACACACTGAGGAGACTACTGGATGACGTCACGCGCCATGCCCTAGAGTGAAACATCATGACAAAACAACGAGTTGGGTTAAAACGGACTACACAGAATAGGGTGAAATGGAGATTTACTATTGAAACCTTATTTTTCAATCGAAACCAAAGAGTATGAAATTAAAGAAAAACTAAAATTCTCTTTTATTTCAAAAATTCACTCAAATTTTTAATTATTCACTTCTCCATTTTTATAAAACTTTGTTTACACTTAACTTACTTTTATTGATAAGAGAATTAATTCATGCTTTAAAAAGATTTCTTTTGAATTTACTGACTACTTTCTAGACACACTGAAAATGTCGGATATTGAATTGTCTCAAGTGGATAAATCTTTCTTGTTAAGATACACAGTATTCTTTGTCATCATTCTCAATAGAAACTGAATGCATATACAAAAATAATAGTTGGCTTTCAGTTCGCATTCAAAATGATTGTAAGAATATTTGCATAACTTGAAGGCTTTTGTCATCAATAACATCAATATTCAAGTATTGGTTTCCAAGGATTTCTGATTGGTTTACAGGAAGTCATCGGCTAGAGAACCATCGGAAGACCTGGAAGTACTGGACAGCTGTTTCGTTCTAATTTAATGATCTCCAGCACTGAGTACTCTGTAACCAGTGGAGTACAGCAGGTTGGGTGTGAGGACAAATACTTGCCGCTGACATTGGCTGGCAACCAGTCACACCATTTCGTGAACTGATACAAGTTGTAATTCACGGACTGGCAATTGAATCAGGTTCCAGTGTCTGGAATGCTTCATGAGATCGCCTTGTCACCCTAAGGTCTTGGGTTCGAACCCTGGGTATGTATTGATGAAGAGTCCTAAACCAGAGTGAAACAGCTGTACAGTACTCGCCGCTGGTTTTCCAATGGTTCTCTAACCGATATCAGCTCATGATGGAATCCTGTAAAGAATTCAAGTGTTTATGTCACCTTTTTTTAATTGTCACTAACCTCTAATTTTTTCACTTCTAAATAGTTACGTTGCTGTGGTGTTAACGGTTACGAAGATTATCGTGAAAGTATACCAATCGCCTGTTGTGATCATCATGTTAGCAATTGTCTGAATGTGTTGCTGTCACCTGAAGAAGTGTATAAAGAGGTGAGTAATTTTCTTTTATCTGTCCATCTTTTCTATGGCTTTAAATTATTCATGTTATTTTATGCCATAACACTGCTAATTTTATTGAGTATTATGTACCCGTTGATTGGGTATTTATGCGTTTGTTTTCAGGAGAACGGAATACATTCATTCCTCTCTTTTCTAAATCATGAACTGTATGGAGTATCAGCCTGTGACATAACCTTTCGGGTGCCGTCTCATCGAGTGGTTCGATGTTAGAATGCTTCCCCAACCATGATGTAGGTTCAGGTTTGGTTTCTCTGCCGACTCACCCCTAGACCTCGGTTAATTTACTAGCCGGAAAGGTTGGGTATGAGAGTAGCAACTGCAACCTCGTAAAAATAACACCCCTGCTACTGGGACTTCGTGCGTTGGTTGTTCAGTAGTAGAATACTCGTCGACCACATGCATGTAGTCCAGTGTGTGACTCCTGACCGACGCTCTCCTAAGCCTTACTAGACTGGTAAGGAGGGAAGGTTGTCTAGGTGAGACTAGCAACCCCATCCCGTAAAATAAATCTACTGCTACCGAAACTTCGAAGCTAAAAGCTTGAAGCCCTACTTTCCACTTAAGACTCAAGCAAAGGAGAAAACACATCACGGAATGTATGTTGTTTCGTTTACGGATATTCAATTTCTCCCCTTATCAAAACCAGCTAGGTATCAGCTGGAATCCGAAGGCAGGTGAATGGCTGTTGTAACTGAAAACTGTAATTTTCCATTTATGTCCAATCATGACCATATAAGAGACTGAAACAAAGAGCTTTAGTTTTTTAGGCAAACCCTACAGTATTGAATAACAGGCTGGAGATACGCTAATTGTTCTTGGATATTCACTACCTCTGAATTCATCTAAAAATTTAACTGTTTTAGTTTCGACTCCTTGAGAGTCCATAGTTATCCACTACTGAGAAGTTCACCGATATGTATTCTATCCATTGACGAAGTGGAGTACATTTCAAGTTTGATCACGAACTGATATCAGTTACAGAATTGTTGGAGACCAAGGACTACTGGATATCTGTTTCGTCCTCATTTCGAACTCCTCATCATTACCCACTTACCTAGGTTCGAACCCAAAACTTTTCGGTTACAAGGAAAGCTCGTAGACCATTCAACCACTGGGGCCTGATTCAATGGTCAGCCCATGATTTCCAACTTCTATCAATTCGTGCAACCACTGAATGCTCTATGAACGTGCCCTGTTACTGGAAGGTCCTGGGTCTGAACTCCGGCTGTTGTGCACTGCCAATGAGTCCTGAATTAGGACGAAACAGCCATCCAGTACTTGGTTCTTTGACTGGTATCGATCCGTGATCTAACTTGAAACAAGTCAAATCTCTACAAACTAACTCTTGAAGGAAATTTGTTTTTCAATAAGTCAAAAATTTGTTTTTGTTGTCTTACATTCATATCTGACGTCTTATTTCTAAAATGTTCAACTGTTTTAAAATAGCGAATAGTGTTTATCACTATCGCGTATTTGAAATATATTTCTTACCTAAGGCTTCACTAAGGAAATAGGCTTTATTGATTAGCTACTCTCTCCTCTCCATCTTACTGTATTTTTATCACCCTCCCTTATCCTATAGTATGATTAAATGTAAGCGCTTGTAGTACATTTAGGTGCAGAGAGCAGCCAATCACTCTATCTTTATTCACCGAAACTGACATTTATCACATGACGCAATAACAAATTATTGTATATATGGAAAATTTCATTAAAAAGGTGCAAAGCGAATTAGAATAAAATACATAGCAAGTTGTGTGAATAACTTGATAAAAGCCTGAGAAGTGTAAATTCTTCTCGAGATGCCATCCAGTTATCACTGCGTCTTACTGTCAAACAAATATATCTAATATAGCATTCTATATTCTGCTGTAGTGCCTAATTTCTCAAGTCATTACATTTTCTCCAGATTTTCATCTGACAGATTACAGGATTTCATCATGAGCTGAGAAAAACCTGCAGGGATTACTGTACAGCTGTTTCGTCCTAGTTTGGGACTCTTCATCGGTCAGCTGATGATGAAATCCTGTAACCAATCAATCAAATCCCTACAAACTAATACTTGAATTTCATCTGATAGTTATAAGAAAAAAAGGTTTGCATATTGATTATATTCAGCATATTTTTTTATCGATTTTCGTGATAATTATTACATCACTGAAATAGGAACAGCCAATAGATTTATCATGGAGATAAGAACAAATAGTTCAATGAAAAGACACATTTCTGGAGAATTCACTTACTAAGCTGTACAATTACAACTATCTACAAGGTAGTTTTGTATGCGGGTGTGTACATCCAGTCTGTCAAAAAATAACACAAACTAGTTTGGAGTATTGATTAGGTGATTAAAATATTACATAAGAGTGATGAATAATCAGATTGTGACTAGGTGGGTGGGGAGGGGGTCTGGCGATAAGTAAGTCTAAACTAATTTGTTTCGTAATCTGAGTGGTGTTCAGAAAAAAAATGGATGTTAGTGAAAGAGATCATGCCGACATGTATCAAAAGTTTAGTTTAAAAAATGAAAATATTAAATGTCATACGAAAACAGGTAAAAAAAATAGTATTTATAACAAAATATCGATGATAATAGTTTAGCTTGGAATTATACTGTCAATAGGAGGAGGGGATGAAGACGTTTCTTCTGCATACATAAATCAGAGTTTTCCATCTGAATCGTTAAGACCTCAGTAATGAAAAGTATACGGGAACTTACCGTCTTCGGAAGTTTCATTTTGAATTTGTTGATGACTTTGAATGAATTCTCCAAGTGGGATAAGGTTTCTTGACTCTTTTAGGTAAAATGAGCATTGAGTGAACTACATATCTGGTTCCATAGAAGCAAGTGAATTGATAGACACGCATAGAAGTGGTTAAATGCGATAATTTATCTTTAAAGTTATTGGAAAAGATTGGATGGCAGTCCTAATTTAGAAGCAAAGAATTTCCTTTCAGGGCGTTTGATGAATATCATCTAGAAGGCCGCCTTTGAATGCCACATTCATGCATAGTATCTTGTTCGGCATACAGACTGGGTTTTCTTTGTTACTCTTGGGTTTATTTGTTCATCTCTGAAGCTTGATGGGGATAGTCATTTTCATTCAGTGTCTTCCCCAAAAGTGGTGTCGCTATCTACAGACTCAAGGCTGCAAATTCTTCGGATCATAGTTGCAAAATGATATTATCATGTCTCGCTTTAGATTTATGGGTTCCCAACTGTAAAATTTTGTCAACCTGTCGTTTCAAGTAGGCTTTCTATGTGCTGATTAGTTCAGTGTTCCATCAGACTTCTTTCTCTGTTGTTATTATTATTGTTCCTTTGGGTTCCTAATGGAAAATAAGGCTTTAAAAGAACTCCACTTTGTCCTATTCCCTGCGGCCTTCTTCAGCTGTCCCCATGATGGCGCTTAAGTTTTCCTCCATGTCACCCTCCTACACACGCGAAACTCGTCATTTCCTACTCGGATTTCATTCGAGGGCTCGCCTAGTGTGCGATCTCACTGGAAATGCTTCTGAACGTGTATCTGATCCATCTGCATTTTCTTTGGGATATTTCTTGAGCAATAGGTTCTCGATTAGTTTACCATGTGTCAGGGTTTCTTGTTGCTAATTCTTTCTGGCTACCTACATAATCTTGAGTATGGAGCCAGCGAAGTGGGCACCTCTGTTGATGAACGTCTGCAGCAGGCTGTTGGGATAGCTTTTCATGACACATGTAGGAGAACTGACTGACTTGACATTGGTGTTAGGAATCAGAATTTTGTTGTTTATGCTGACTAAGTGCAGAAGATTTTCAAACTGATTTTAGATTGATGAAGGTCTTTCTTGCCTTTCTGATTCTGGTTTTGACGTGTTCATCTGTGCTTGCTGCTTGTAGTTGAAACGATCGTGCCTAGATAAGTGAAAGAAGTGACCTCTTTCAAATTCATTCCGTTCATATTGATCGGTGCTTGTTGTTGTTGGTTGTCTTCATTGCCTCCATCTTCTCCATATCCACGTGAAGTCCTATCTTTTCTGCGTCTTCCGCCAGTTTGTTGGCCTTCGTCTGTACGCCTTCGAACATATGCAACATCATACCTTAATCGTCTTCGAAGTTCAGATCTTCTAGATTCCTCTTATCAATCCAATGCATTATTGTCTTCTCACTTCCCCTTGTCACGATGTACGGCATAATCCAATCCACCACAGTCAGGACATATCATAGGTTGTAATAGGCAACCTTGTTTTACTCCTAACTTCAATTTAGGGGCTTCTCAGAGTTTTCCATCGTGGATCACTTGACATGCAGCATTATCATATAAACTGCTGAATGAGGTTGATAAACATTTGATATACTGCATTCCGTAATACTGAAATAGTGTTCAAATTATGTTGTGGTCGACGCGCTGTCAACTGCCTCTTAAAAGTCGATGAAGCTGAAACAGAGATCTCACTGATATTTTATCCTCTGATGGATGAAAATGCATACAGTTACAATTTGATTCACACACATATCTATGATTTACTTTTCCTGAGTAGCACAAAATGTTGTCACTATTAACCAAAAATGATGTAACGCTTGTAAGTTGTAAGCAGCTGAAGGGAACTGACTGAAAAAAAAAATAATGGTCCCATTTTATTCAGCACAGATATTTGTTTCTGTTTTATTTCAACTGTAAATTTGATTGTTGGACGATAACTATTAGAAACAGTCTCTTCGCTGAACTATTTTCTTCTTATATACACATGCCATGATAGGTATTTCTC